ATCGTTTTTTGATCCTCTCATTTACTGTTGGGCACTTAGGTTGCTTCCAACACTTGGCTGTTGTAAATTGTGCTGCTACGAACATTGAGGTGCATAGGTTCTTTTGAATTGGTGTTTCAGGATTCTTAGGATATCATCCTAACCGTGGGATCACTGGATCAGAAGGCAGGTCCATTTTTAGCTTTTTGAAGAAATTCCAAACTTTTCCACAGTGGCCGCTCCAGTCTGCATCCCCTCCAACCGTGTACTAGGGTTTGCTTTTCTCCAGAGCCTCACCAGCACTTTGTTGTTGATTTGTTTATGATGGCCATTCTGACTGGTGTTAAATGGTATCTAATTGTGGTTTTAATTTGCATCTCTCTGGTGGATAGTGATGCTGAGCATCCTTTCACATGTCTCTGGGCCATCTGTATGTCCTCCTTGGAGAAGTATCTGTTCAGGTCCTTTGCCCATTTTTCAGTTGGATTGTTTGTCTTCCTGGAGTGGAGTTGTGTGAGTTCTTTATATATTTTGGATATCAAACCCTTGTCCGAGGTATCATTGGCAAATGTATTTTCCCATATGGTTGGTTCCCTTTTCATTTTGCTGATGTTTCCTTTAGCCATGCAGAAGCTTCCTACTTTGATAAAGTCCCATTTGTTTATTCTTTCCTTTATGTCCCTTGTTCTAAGGGGACAAATGAGATTAGCAAATGGGATTTGTTTCCTGATTTCCGATTCTGATATTTCATTGTTGGTGTACAAAAATGCCTTCAGACAAATCCATTTTTGTAAGTTTGTGTTATTTCTATATTTATTATATTATTAACTACTGCCCCACAGTTGTATGTTGGCACATAGTAACAAAAAACAACACACCTGGCTGGAAAAATCCAAACAGAATCATGAACAGGAAAATTTCAGGTCATCTAATAGCAAATCCTTGTTTGATGACTATCTCTGTGATGGGAAAGAGCAAATCACATGGTGTATTTCTTGTACCTGGTCAACCAGTTTTAGAGGTACACAATTTGAAAGGAGTCCCTTGAAAACAGCAATAATGACTGATTTAATAATTTTTGGAATGGGTGTGTGCTCCAGACTAACCAACAAATGAAAATGTGAGCCTTGCGAAACCTGGTAGAATCGCATCCCGCATTCTCCACTCAGCCTCCCCGCCTGCGGCACTTCCTCTGGAAGGTTTTCTGGCTTTTGTGGGTACAGAAGATAATGGACACCTTGTAATGGGCCAGTATGGGCAGAATTTAAAAGACAGATTTCTTACCAGATAAGTGATTTCCAGAGGCAGAGTCACATATGTATTAAAAACTATGAAAAAATAATAGGTTTTGTTTGCATGTTAGTCATGGCCCTTGACAGAATTTTGCCAAGAAGTTTGTCTTGTGTCTGTTTCCACACATACTTAGGTAAGTCAGCACGGCAAAGTGGTGTTCCCACGAAACTGGTTTTGAGCTCTGAGTGGGTTTGGACTTCTGTGGTTTTTTCCTTTACTCCCCCCGACCCCGCTCTTTTGTTTGCATTTTTTTCCCTTTATTATAATCGGTAACATATGTTCTGAAATTGCCATTAGAAAAATTTGTTAGAGATTTGTTTTTAATGAGTTATAATATCGCCTGAAAAAATGTGTGTGCCAAGAAAATAAATATCAAGATACTACTATCCACACAAAAAGATACAAGCTTTTTCTGCCCGCCAAGTTGAAGGTCTACTGCAAGGAAAAGCAGATGAGATCAACTTCTATGTTTCTTTTATATTTTTTTCTTTATTTCTGGCTTTCTCACATAGAGAAAGTGGCTATTTAGAAGGCTAGTTTAATCATATTTAAGTCTTAACAGTTGACTGAAAAATAGTTCTGCGTGTGTGATCCTATTTTATATTCTTCTATGTCACAAAACTAATACTTTTTAATATAATCAGCACCTAATAGCAAATGGAGGATCCCACCCACTCACTGTGGGTTGAGATGAGAGTTCCTAGCCAGGTGCACAGGGTACTCGGAATTTAATGGCTTTAGATAATGGCATTTAAGCTATTTCCTAAGCCAACTATTAAAAAACCACTGAACTGTGATGCTAGTTATTCCTCCAGCCTCCCCCCGCACCGTGTATATATACAATAAATTAATCTTAAATGTCAGAATGGACTTTTACTTTTGTCTGCTGTTTGAAAGTAACTTGAAAGTGAGGCTGCGGGCCGATGTTATTGTTTAAATGCAGGTTAATAGTGACAGCTGTAGTTCCAATTTTTATCTAGTCCGTGACTAAAATAGTTTTAGTGTTAATTAAGAAAACTAGTGTAAGAGTGCTTTGTATAAGCCGAGGCATCTGACTTAAGCCATTGTTTGTAGAGCTAGCGAAATGAAAATAAAAATCTAAAATATATGGATATATAAAACAGATTAAGAAGATCTGATAATTGTTTATATAACACTTAATACCTAAATTTCTAATATATTAACTTCTTTAGATTTATTCAGATCATGTTACATTTGTTCATAGTAGTGTTGATTAATAGGCTGCTCTAAAAACTTTTAATTTCTCTACTTTCAACTATTTTCCTAGTCTCTTATGAGAAATTGCACCTTCCACTCGACCACCAAAAACTCCCCAAAGCATATAGCACCACAGCACCTTGAAAAATTAATCTCAGCATTAGCCCAAGATAATTCTTTGAAAGTTGCATATCATGTAAATATATAATGATATATATTCAATGTCAGCTAAAGTAGACTTCCAATGGCAAATCATTTATCTTTTCAAATTATTTTGAAGAGTGTCTGGAATGATTGTTGCCGGTCCCTCCCTCATTCCCCTCAACAACAAAAACAAAAAATTAGAACATTCCTAGCATTTGGATATTGGTTCTTAATTTTCTCTTTAAATAATTACTTGACCGAGAGAGCCCAAGGGGGATTTGAAGGAAACGGGAAGCCGCGTTTCTGCTCTACTCGCCCTGCAGGCCAGAGGCCTGGCCACCGGCAAGACACGTGCAATGGAATCCAGATCCTGGCGGATGTTTGGAAATGGCCTTCTCAAGTCATTTCTTGTACAGCCTCGCTGCTTAAATTCGCATACAATCATTGCAGCCTTTCTACATAAGAGGACTTTTTTCACCTTTAAAAAAAATAACGGCATAGGTATTAAGTGTGAATGAAACAATTTCTGAAGGAAAGTTCCTATAGGTTTTCAATGCCAATTTTTTTGTGTATTTCATTAGAATTGTTTTTTTATATTCATGTGATTTATATTCGTCTGATTTGTAAACAGATAAGGTATTTGCATTCTCTTTTGCATCCTATAAAGAACTACACAAGGAAAATCCCTTTTAAAGAGAGTTTGTGGTACTGCTGTGCCCATTTCTAGTCACAGTCGGTACCGATAACAGCAACACGGCTCAGGCACAGCTCTCTGCATAGGCCACTTAAAAGTCAGAGAGACTGTAGGTTGAGAGACGTCGTCCTTCTCCGTGTTAGTGTCTGTCACATGGGTCTCCTGGTCTAATCAGTGCAGCCACAGCCTCTACTGCGTTCAGGGCTTTTCACATACCCTTCAGTTTTCGTTAAAGGTTGGCTCTGCCCCACGCTGATCTCACTTTCCTTCCCATTTTTTGCAGTATATCTGTGTAGCAACACATTTAGTGTTGATTTGTAAATTCTTTTGTTCCCAAATCGGTTCACGCGTGTTTGTTGAATCCCCATAATGATTTTAAGTCTCTTGTGGCATGGACTATATCCACCCGCCCCCCCCGCCCCGTAGCACCAGTTACAGTGTTGGACACAAAATAAGGACTTCATGAAGTGTTTGGTGGGTTGACAATTAAAATAATTAAAGAAAAGTTTCTGCTGGGAGTTTTATATTTGTTAGCCTCTGGTTAATACAGTAGCCAAAAACTTCTCTTCCTCGACTCCTCTGCTTTTCATTGCAGAAAGCAGCAACTGAATTGTTCTAGAAATGAGGTGACGTTAATCTACTAGTTTGTTACTTAAAAGGGAGAGCATTAGGCACACGTTGAAATGCCTTTTGCTGGCTGCAGAAAAGAGCGTGGGCTTGTTTTCCTTTTGGCCTTAGTGCGGCAGATTGAAAAATAAAGGGGTACTAAAGGGCACCGAAAATAGAGGTGTTTGGTTTTCTGAGCTGCTCCAAGTTACCATTTTAAAACGCCTGCAAGCATTTCTAAACCAGGAGTCCGGTAGCTCCAGTTGCCAAACCGGTTTAGCAGCACTGCCTCCCCTGACTCTGGGTGAGAGGGAGCTCCGAGCGCAAAAACTTGTCAGAGATCCCCGTCCCGATCTTCTGAGAACACGTTGTTTGGTAATGTGCTGTTGTTTCTGGGCAAACGTCTGCCCTAAACCATGAAATGATTCAAGGTTCAGAGTTCCTTCTTTGTCCCTTTGTTAATCACTGACTTCTGACTGGTGGGAGGTGCCTCCCAAATTCGCTAATGCATTCTTTTTGGAAAGGGATGACGCACAGATTGTCCTAATAAGGACTTAGACTGAAAAAGTACCACCCCCTCTGAGAAGATGGGACAAGGCAGAGAGAGGGCGGGCAGTTTCTTTTTCAACTGGGGATGACACAAGCCTAAGTCATTTCCTTATTAATCGGTTCAAACCAGTTCTTACAGGAACTGGTGGTGATAAATGTGGGACTTCTCAGAAGTCATTCATTTTATTCTTTGTATCACATCAGTGTGCAGCCGCAGCTGAGCTCGCTCCACTGCAAGGACGGACTGGGCTGGAAGCAAGGAGCTGAGCTCCTACTTTCTCCCAAACATGTTGGTGGGAGAGATGATTCTCCTTTAAGGGATTGTTAAAGGATGAATTTTTATCCACTAAAAAGAGTTCACAAGATTTCGCCAGCTCTGCTGATAGTTTTACTTTTTTTCTCTTTCTACCAATCCCTGCTTTTTGAATCCAGGCGGTAAGTGGATTTTTCTTTAACGTTTTTCCTTCTTCTCTTCCCAAATGTACCCTTTCCCGTGGGTTGTTGTCCCTGCTCCCAGTGCTGTCCCCGGCATAGGTCCGTCTCTGCAGAAGCCGTTCCAGGAGTACCTGGAGGCCCAGCGGCAGAAGCTTCACCACAGGGGCGAGACGGGCGCGCCACAGGTGAGACTTGCCTCTGTTTTCTTCTCCCCTTGCTCCCAATTTCAGGCTGAAACCACAGTCCTGGCACTCAGGGCATTTTTGGACAAATAGAGTGAGGGTTGTGTGCCAGTGAGTCTTCCCTACCAGGAGTTGTGGCTGTGTACTCAACTCGGAAATCTGCCTTTGTCTGAATCAGAAAATGTAACTTCTGTTCTGTACATCTTCTCTCCAAAGCAAGAGTAGGGCTAGTGGAAAATAATAGATCTGTTATGTAGAGTGAGTTACTGCCTTGAATGATTTATTAGCAAGTGGACTTCCTGAATGGATTAAAAGGTTGAGATTTACAGCATAACAAAGTGTTGGACTTGCTGAGGTCGCCTGAACATCTCCGTTCATTTTTGCACCATTTTTCTTTTTAAAGTTAGGAAAACAATCATTTTTTAATAAACCACGGCTCTTAATATAGCGAAACATAAAAACTGTAACTTACACTGAGCCTGCCTTTTCTGTAAATAGTTCTGTGACAAAGGGAAATGACTAAAAGAGGATGAGTAAGCAATAAGCTGAAATGGGAAACTTGAAGGAAGAACAGTTGAGGTTTTTGTGTGTGTTTTTGATGACCTTGTACTCTGTGTGGCCCTTTGCTGCCCTCAGTTGAGCAAACATGATTTCAGGAATAGATAACATTTATATTTTAAAAGCTGCTCCCAGTACTGGAAAAAGAATATATAACTATCTTGACACTATTCCTGTACAAATGTCTATGTGGTGACTTTACGTAGTAGAATTTAATCAAAGACTTTGTCCTTATGAAGTAAAAGACAAGAGATGACCTCACACTTGCCCCATTCTAAACTCTGAATCAACGTTGACTTTATCGTCAACAAAGGGAAATCTTAATAACTGGATGGAGAAGGGCCTAAGTGTAGATTTCAGGGTAGCTACAGACATGAAACTTCATCTTCAGTTGTTTAGACTTTATAGGTTACAGCTCCCAAGTTCTCATTATTTTCCTTGAAACATTGTAGATGATCCGCTAATACTACTGAAATGACAAAGTATTTCTCGATTATTCTGCATTTATTCCTGCAGGGAGAAAACTGGTTGTCCTGGATGTTTGAGAAGTTGGTCGTTGTAATGGTGTGTTACTTCATCCTGTCCATCATTAACTCCATGGCACAAAGTTATGCCAAAAGAATCCAGCAGCGGTTGAACTCAGAGGAGAAAACTAAATAAGCAGGAAAAGGTTTTTAATAGCAGAAATTAGAATGGATGGGTTCTGCCTTAATTGGGAGGACTCCAGATCAGGAAAGAAAGTTCCCTTTTCCATCCTGTATCAATTTCAGTTTTGTTTTTTGTTTTTTTGTTTTTTTTTCCTGAAAGCAGTTTAGTCCATATTTTGCACTGACATACTTTTCCTTTGTGTGTTACGGTAAGGTATCCACCCTCAATTCAATTCAAGTTGTATTTTATTGGGGTGGAATGTGATGTTCAGCAGCAAACTTAACAGAAACTGGCCTTTTATTTATTACTTTCAAAAGGCCCACATCATACAATTAAAGAATTCCGGACAGTACAAAAAAAGTTCCTAAGTATGTTAAATATGTCAAGCTTTTTAGGCTTGTCACAAATGACTGCTTTGTTTTTCTAAGTCATCAAAATGTATATAATTATTAGATGGGATAACAGTCTTGCATGTCTATCATGGTAAAATTTAATATGCCATCCTGCCCAGCCCTTCCTCTCCTTCCTGGAGAAAAGGCCATTTTATGATGCATTGCACACCCTCTTGGGAAATTGATCTTTAAATTTTGAGACAGTATAAGGAAAATCTGGTTGGTGTCTTTCGAATGAGCCGACACCATTTTTTATTCTGTATATTTAGAATGAAGTCATGAGAAAACTTTATAAAGACCTCTTTGATCATTCCAAAATTGTGTTCGTTTTCTTGAGCGCTTTGATTTTTTCACTTCCTTTTAGCTTCTACCAACTGAATGGCAGCCTTGCCAAATCCACCTACAGCCGTAATTTCTTGAGCCTTCACTTATTTGCATGGAAAGGGACACCACCAAGGTATTTTGGTGAGGCTGGAACTGGGCAGCCGCCTGCTCGCTGCTGGCATGAATGGCACCTTATAGGTGGGCGTCGTGAGGGGGTTTCTTGGTTTGTGGGAACAGGAGACATGGTGGTGTGCAAATAAACACTGGAGAGAGAAGTAACTCATTTTTTAGAAACCCACAGTTTTCTCACGTGTTCATTTTAGCTCAGTGTGTACTCTGGTTTTAACAGAAATTTATATGTAACCTACTTTCCTTGCCCTTTTCAGTTTTGTTCTCTGATTTTTCCTTCAGGATGGTTCTAGTTAACTGGATCATTTTGTTTTGCTTGAGAGGGAAATAAACAATTTCACTTTTTTTCCTTTAGGAAAATTGGTACTGACATTACATTGAGAGTAGAATTGGGTGTAAATCTCAACAGGCCCGATATGCCTGGTTGGTTTTATCAAATCCCGCCCGAGTGTCTGCTCGTTGTGCCCACCGTCGCGACATCTCCATGGCTGTACCACCTTGTCGGGTAGCTTATCAGACTGATGTTGACTGTTGAATGTCATGGCAACAGCAGTCGATGGGCTGTCTGACATTTTGGTATCTTTCATCTGACCATCCATATCAAATGTTCCCATTCAAACATTACCCAAAATCATGGTCTGTGATTTTTTAAAAAACTCTGCCTGTCTAGTGGCACTTTCTTTTGTGCCATGATATTGCAGCAGGGTCAAGAGGATTTTATGGAAAATTGGGATACTCTCCATGACCACAACTAAATGAATAAAGTATAAGCAACCTGCCTTGTGGGTTTTGCAAAGGTTGTTCTTAATCTTTTTTTCCACCCAGGAACTTTATAGCAGTAATATTGTTACCTTATTTAAAAAGCAGTACCCAAACACTTATTACAGATTCACATTAAAAGCATAATTGTTTTAGATTCTTTAGGGGTCATGTAACTTTCTAAGTCAGCTTCTAACCAAGTTGTACTTCATCTCTCACCTGCATTTTATTTGGTGTTTGTCTAAAGAAAGGAAAGAGAAAAGCAAGTTTAAATCTGTACTAACTATTGGGGATTTTTTTTTTTTTTTTTTTTGTAAATTTATTTCAGGGTAGTAGGGTATTAGAAAGAGGAAAAAATTGTGATTAATACTTTTGACTTGATGGTTTGTTCACTCTTTCAAATGAATTGGCTTTGAAAACAAACGAAGAGCATCCCTCCTCCTCTCCTCCACTAAGTGTGCAGGCGGCGCGCTCGGTGCCCCTGCCGGCTGCCGGCTGGAGCAGTGTGCTGCCGCCCCGTGTTCCGTGCCAGGTGTCTTCCTTTCTTGTATCCACCAAAGTGGACGCAAACAACTACATGATCCATCCCAAAGACATCCCTAGTTAATTCCAGCTGATGGGAAACCAGAAACTTTGTAAATGGATGGTTCGATATTACTGCAAATAAAAAAAGGGCCTGGGAATTCCTGTTCCATCTCTATTTGTTTAAGCCTCATTTTGTGCCTTAAATATCTGCAGTGTTTTACCACTTCTCAACTCAGTGACAGTCACGTACAAGACAATACAGTGCAATACATCAGTTCACACACGTAGGTACGGAGGAGCAGCTCCCTTAAAACTGCACAGTTTGGAATCATGTGCAGTGTATTCTGTTTTCTCTGTATGTCTCATATGGAGTGTGGGCTTGGAGGAAGAGGAGATTTTTACTTTCGTTTCTGATGGCCACTCTTCCCATTCTCTAGGAATCCAGAAAACAGTGCTGGGGTGAAGTTTCTGAAATACACTGGTTCATTCAGTGTCTGTAGGAGCAAGTGCTCCTGGACAAACCAGCTCAGCCCATGTTACCAGTATGCTCTGTGCTGTTTATAGCTGGAGTGGGACAGCATGAGACCTGTCTCCTTGCACTAGTCACTCAGCACTGACCCACTGAGTACAAATAATGCATTAAGCCAAATAATCAATTGCCCTCTCGTACCCTGGGATGAATTGTGCTTTGATTGACCCATCTGTAAAGAGCTCATAGAAGCGTGCAGCCTTTTAGCTTCAAATTGCTTTTCCAACTCTTGCAAACCCACTTACCTCCATGTGCGGTAGTCTGTTAGTGACGGTTCAGACTCCTGCCTCTTGTAAGTGACCTTGAAAAAGTAACAGCCTAGATTTCAGCTATAAAAATAGATACGTTATATGTAGATAGCCAGGTTGTCTGAAGGATTAAATCAGATAAAATATAAAGTACTGCCATAAATGTTTGCATGTTCCCAGCTTTTAATTTATCAAAGATGGTATTCATTATACATGCAGAAATTTTACAACGTTAACATTCCAAAGAATGTTTTTTAAATGTTCTTGGTATATGCATCCTTGTTTTGGAGCAAATACAGATAAGCCCCTAACTAGCCTAATTAAAGTACAAAGCACCAATACACAAATGTACTGTGAAATTATTGAAAATTTCTAACCTTCCCACCTTCAAATGTTGACAGCTTATATTTATTATAAAGACGGTTAATACTGAAAAATCTGGAAGGTGGCGGGGAGGGGCTACCACCTTTTAGTTCCTTGTTAGAATCTCCATCTAGATTATCTAGTGAGACTTGGTGGGTGTGAATAGATTTTAAACAGGTGTTTTTTTTTTTAATTTGTGGCTTGCAAGATCTTAGTAGACCACAAAATCTCATTTCTGTTAGAAAAACAAAAAAATGGTTTATTTTATTCATTAATAATTAGTTATGCTCGCACAAAGTTAAACCAACCTATTCAGGAGTTGAATAGCCAGTTTTGAAAGCCGAGTAACTCACATCCCATCTCTAACATTGATCAAAGCTGCTCAGGCTTTCACAAAACATGGTAAACGAAATGCTGCACCCAAGTGGCATCTGAAGTGTTTTGTTCCTCTATTGTCAAAGGCAACAAGAAAGCACATAATGTCCTTCAAGATTCTAAAAGCAGTTGAGTCATTTGTGTCTGGTAGTTAAGGGTTTGGGTTCCTGTCCCTCCCTTCCCAACGAGGCCAAGAGTTCACCTAAGGTTACATGTTTGCCTTGGGGGTGAGGCCTTGAATTGCAGCAAACAACCTACATCTATTTGCATATTTGACCAGTAGTCATAAGAGGGATCGTAACCAAAACCTGTTCTGGGCAGCTACTTACTCATTGCCTTTAGAATTGCTTCGCACTAGGATAGGCAGGTGCCAACTGTTTGCTCATTCTTTGACCTACTGGCCTTGCAGTTCACTGTGTGGGTGTTGATAGTACTAAATTAAATGAAAAAAAAAATTGTTTTAGATGGCCATCACTCTCCACTCAAACACCCTCGATTCATTTGAGATCTGAGATTCTAATTCTGTAATTGGGAGAGGGGCCCAAATGGTGGCCCAGAGAGAGTGAGTCAGTTGCAAGTGGCTGGCTGACTCCATGGGAGCAGAAATGAGACGCGTTTTGGAGGGTTTGTCATCAGCCAAATCCACAAATGTGCAGTTTTTTGAAACATTGGACATCTGTTCCTCTTAATTCAAAACAAACTTTAAAAAGCACAAAGTTGCTTGGCTCCTTGTTTCTCTGTGTCAGCAGCAGTTCCCGCCCTGAGTGAGAAAGCCCAGAATCAAAGGGAGAAAACTTGGGATCTTTAGGGCACACTACAGAGAGGGTGGAATTGTACTGCTTTGGGAAGGGAAGAGATGATTTTACAATACAGAGTGTTTGGAAATCCCCTTCGGGGTAATCAGCCCAGGTGCTCAACCCGGTTGTTAACCATTCCCAAATGACTCAAAGGACGTGGAGGGAGGGTTTGGACACACTCCAGCACTGTGTCTACAATGTAGCCTTTATCCGCATGGGAGACCGCAGAGGAGTCCTTGACGGGGAGGCCCCAGCGTGTTCTGGCCGTCTGACTCAGGCACCCCGAGCTGACGTTCTCCGCTGACCGTAGCCTTCTTTTGAGTGTTCCGGGGAGGAGTAGCTACGACTGGCTCCGCTGGCCTTCCACCCCGGGCTCTTTGAGGAAAAGCCTTGTTCATTCAAAGAGGCCTCTGTAGGCCTCCCCCAACTAATGCCAAATATGGCATTTCCCTGTGTGCTATCTGTTTCCTTTGGGGGACAGCATGAGCAGCTTTTACCTTCAGGCCACTTCTGACTGACCCGGCCGGACAATATTGCTAAATTGTATCCCAGTTTGTTTCCTGTGGGGACAAGGTTTTCGTGGAGTGAGAGACAGTTTGGGGGAGAGGTGGTTCTCTCTCTCCCTGAAGCAAGGGAATGACTGGTCAGGTCACTGTTGTCTCAGCTGGCTTCTCGCTGGGTTGTGTGGGAAACAAAGAGGCCCTCAGGCTCACTGCTCCTGGCAGCCCCGTGCACCAAGTCACCAGGAACCGCGTTCTCGGCCTCTCTTCGTTAGTTAGAAAGATGAAAGCCCAGAGCACTGAGAGGAGGCCTTTCTCTATTTCATTCTTTCAGTGCGGCCCAGAGCCCCTTGATAGTCACTTTCCCTTGAATGGTGTCCTAAGGAAACCTCTTAGAGCAGCCCAGCTTTCTCTGCCTCACCTCCCACTGTCTGGCATCCTTGCGGCTCTTCAGATACCTCAGCTCGATTCTGCCTGTTGCACCAGCCCCCCATGCCCCCTCCGTGACATTTTCTTTGTTCACAGCACCAGCAGCCGAGATTAGCTCCCAGGAACCGCTGAAGCCCTGCACCAGGAAGCTCAGTGGACTGCTCTAACGTGATCATTGTTTGCTCAGTTGGTACCAGGCATTGTTTTCAGTGCTGCTTTGCATGCATTGTATTTAATCATTAAATCCTTATGAACAACCCCATGAGGAAAATAAAGCAGAGAGGTTTAGTAATTCTCTGGAGGAAGTAAGGAAGTAGCAGAGTTCAAATTCAAACTTAGG